TTTACAAACCCCACCACACCAAATCCTTCGTCCACACTAACCACATCACTTTACACTCACAAAAAATATGATGAAACTGCTCCACTCCCTCATTGCATACTCCACAACCAACATCCACACCCAGCAAAACAATCCCTCTCTTGCATAAATCCTCCTTTGTTGCTTACTTATCAAAAATAATCTCCACCCAAAAACACTTAATTTAGAGGGAACCTATTTATACCAAATAATCATACACCATTTTTTTTTTTTATCAAGAATACCATCTTCAAAGAATTGAAGAAGTAAAGATAGTAATTAAAAAGTACTAGTATATATAAACATACCTTAATTAGCTATGCTGTAGCTACTTTTCCTTTCTTGGTGATGCTCAAAGCTAAAAAGTTGTTGGGTTTTGTGAAAGGACTAATTAAGCTTAATTTGATAGAATATTTCTGTATCAAGCAAATAAGATTTTAAATTAAAAGAGATGATAAAACAACAGTTAGGAAAGAAAATTTAATGATCATTATATGAGTTAAAGACAAACTATAATTAAGAATGATTAGATACTCTAATGAATTAAAACACAATCAATAAAAAGTTTTAAAATAAAAATATATTTAAACAGTATTAATTAAATCACCTCGATATAATGGTATATATAAGGATTGTTCAATGTAAAAAAGAAAAAAATAATAACACACACTCATAAAAATAATGATATGAAGAGATATATTAATTAAAACACCTAATATTATCTCTCTAGTTTGGTCAATATAATGGTACATATAGGGATTTTTCATTGTAAAAAATGAAAAAAATAATAACACACTCATGGAAGTAATATCTGAATAGATATATCCATTAAAAGATTGCAAAAAGCGAAAGAAAACATATAGTAAAATGAAATTTGAGAAAAAATAATTTAGCCATCTATTAGTTGGGGATTAATTAAGAAGCATACCTTTGCCTTAATGCTCAAAGCTGGAAGCGCGAGTGGAGATATTTTCTGGAAAATAACTGCAAGGATGGAAGAGTAACACAAGAAGAGGATGGGAAAAAAGAGAGAGGCTCTAGATGGTTGAAGGAGATGGATGAAGTTCTGAGAGAATATCTAGATAGATATCTTAAGTTTGACACTTGAGTTGGGTGGGAAAAGATTTGGAAATAGGGAGAACTATCCTTTCTTATATAACTCATACTCAAATGCATAAAAAAAAAAAACTTGGAAAGTAGAATTTTATTTAGTTTATTTGGAATTGGGGTCCCATTTGCAGGGAAAAAGAAAGAGATAATTATTGAAGACCCCATTCGCCTAAACTTATTGGTCTTGGATATTAATAGGAGATATCTAAATTATATTTTAAAATATATCTTTTCAATGACAAAATATCTTTTTAGTTACAAATTCATTTCATTAATATTAAGCATGTGAGTATCTGTGACTAATACTTGATATTTGTCACAATTGTAATTGTTGTAGTGATAACTTTTATTGTTAAAAACTTATATTCTCTCTATTATTATTTTTTGGTTACAAAAATAATTTTAATAACGATTTATTTTGTCATTATAGTACATGTGGGTATTTATAACCAATATTTAAAATCTGTCACAATTGTGATAAGTTGTAGTGATGATTTTTATCATCACAAATCTGTGTTCTCTCTATTATTATTTTTCAATAATAAAATATCTTTTAGCGATTAATTTTTTTTGTCAACTTTGAACATGTGCATTTCTGTGACCAATTTTTAAAATTTATCACAATTATAATGAATTATAGCTACAATTTCAAAATTTATCACAAAATTTCATCACTAAAAGTCCTTTTTCCCATAGTGAAATGACCAACCCAAGAGTCATTCCAAATTGAGATGAGTCTACATCCTTGGGGATCCATTTAATACCTTTAGAAAGGAGGGTGCTGCCCTTTTTTGATGTTCTAAACTCAAAAATTTTTTAATTTAGTTATTTAAATTTGAAAATTTGGCCCATTTATCATCTCTTAGTTAAAAATTTATTGATGCGGCTAGTTATTTGATAAGAGAAAAATAATGAGTCAAAAAAATTAAAATGTGTACAATGACGATGAGAAGAATTTTATATGCTTTAATTCATTATTTAAGTCTTAATTTTATTGCGATTTGAATGAGAAAGATGTGATTTTCAATGAATTGTATATTGTTTTTATTTTTTATGCAGAAAAAGACTTAAGTGCATAATAATAAAAGTTTTTGGACTTAATTTAATATGTTTACAAAGTTGAGAGATTGAATTGCGAAGAAAGTTTGCCTCAGGGACATAAAAAAATCAATTCGAAGGTATGGAATCAAAGTGCTCATTGTATAGAATCTAAAGTACCAAATCTACTATTTAACCATTGAAGAAATTGCAAAAGGTCTAAAAACCCGACATGGGTTTGGTGTCAATACCCACGCTACAATGTCGACACTATGCGTTAAGCCTTTAGAAGATGGACAATGATTCAAGAGACAATTTTAGGGACAATTTGCGTGGCTTGTTATGTTGATAGGCACTTAACCCACTCATCACGTAGATCGACTTAATGACCAATTTGGATTTACCACGTAGATTGTCCTCAATTTTCATACCACAAAAATCACCCGCTCTATCATTATCCTCAGAAGATAGATGCCAGTTGAGATAAATAAAAGTGCCACGTCTACATTTTACTGTGGACCCTCTATGCACTTTCAGCTTTTTGAGAGTTTGCATTTTTGTCACGGTTCTTGCTTTATATATATATATATATAGTTTCTTAAATTTTATAGATATTTATTTAAAATTAGATTTGAGAGCTTTTGAAAACAAAGAGAGAGACAATAATGAAAATTTTAATATAAAAAATCAAAATTTAAAATTTTATATCACTAAATTGATTTTATTTATCTTTTTTTTAATTAATATCATGGTATCTAGTAGTCACGTTGGATTCAGACTAATTCGAAATCGAGTCGCATCAAACCTCATTTGAAGGAAACTCTTGCAACGCTTATTTCTCTATTCACAAAACTTGAATTCTAGATCTTATTTAGGAAGAATCGAGTTTCTTCCACCCAACCCAACGAATCATTGGTAATTTTATTTATCTTTAGATTTTATTTTATGAAGTTAAATAATATTATATTTATCATGAGATATTTAATTTGTTTATTATTTTATTTATTTTAAAATAACTATTATTTTTTTTCTAACTTAAGAATTTGATAAAATTTATATATTTATTTATGTTTCTTTAAGCAAAAAATTCAAAGATAAATAGATATTTTTGTAATAGATAATTAATTAAAATAAATAGATAACGATAAGATTAAAATAAAAAATATTTATTAACTTTAAAAAAATGAAAAAATTGACAACTTATTTAAAATAAATTTAAATAAAAAAGACATTGATTTTAGGATAAAAGGAATATAAACTAATTTAGCTTGAAATGGTTAATAAAATCATAAACCATTTTGGAGGCAATTGAATGCATTTTTTCAGATGAAGAGATTGAAAGGAAATGAAAGTCTTGAACTTCATCTGGAAATAGAGAGGGGCAAGAAACAATATATATGAATTGCGTAGTGCATGGGTTTTTACCTGATTCAAAGGTAAACTTATCTAAATGCTTCATTTTACATATTTTTCTTAGGACCAGAAAAAAAAATTCAAATCCAAATATTAGCTGTTACTCTTAATTTAAATATTCACCAGATACTAATCACAAGGTACGTAACTCATAATCAACGCTGTTACTGACATTGAGCTTCTCTACTTATTTTCTTGTGCTAACTTTTTGTAGGTGATGTGCAACACTGTTGATGACTTGATGGTATGCACAAGTTCAATTATAGTCCATTGCCAGGAGTCCAATACGGTTAATAACTTGAACTTGAACAGGGAATAGAAAGATAACAGTGAGCTTTTCAACCTTTGGGGATGCATGGATAAAAAACCAATCTGTGTACAATACACAGTTTTAAAGAGGCTTATCAAATACCACTCAACAAGTGTTCTTCTTCTCTCTGTAAGTGGAAAATAATCAAACTCAACAACTGTTGACGTGTCAAAATGGATGGAGTTACCATCTATCCAAATGAGATAAGATAGATTATCAAGGTTTATATAAAAATTGATTAAACTCGGAGAGTCGGTTAAGCATGGGGAATGCGTTAGACACCTCACAACTTTTATATAACTATGGTTACCACATACTTTAATTTTGAAAACTTTTAAATTTTATATCAAAATAATAATTTCCAAAATAAAAAAAAAATCACTTAAAAAAATTTGTCATTTACCTTTTGTTTCTCTGTTTTTGTTTTTTTTTTTTTTCCGTTTCTTTTTTTTTTAATTTTTATCTATAACAATTACCCAAAAAAAGTCACTTCAAAAAAGAAACAAAAATAATAATAAATAAATAAATAAATAAGTACAGTCCTCCATCGACTCCCCTTTTTTCCGTTTCGGTTTTTGTCGCTTCTGTTTCTTCTTCCTTTTTTTTTTTTTTAATACGTACACTCACTTTCTACCTCCCAAAAAATAAAGTTTCTATTTCCCAATTCTGTGCATCATTTAGAATCTCCTACATGTAACCATGAAAACAAATTTCATCCTAAATCTTGATCTTATCCTTCAAACACCTAATTAACTTACACAGATTAATTCTACCCAAGAATAAGACATTTTGCAGCAAGTCTTCATCACATCCAATTTATAGAACAACTAACAGAGACATGCAAGATTACCCATGCTTTTGAATAAAAAAAAAAAAAAACAAAAATCAACCAAAAATGAATAAATCACACACCTGTAAGGACCTAAAGGATTAAAGCTTTATTGTTTTATAAAATTCAAATACAAGTTTCTTCTTCGCTCACCCTCTGCAGCTACTTCACCTTTGGTTCTGTTTTTTTTTTTTCTTGGCTTTCTCTCGGCTTCTTTTCCCTTTTCTTCTCTTCTGGCTTCTACTTTCTTTCTCCCTCTCAACACTCGGATTTCTCTCTAAAGCCAAAGGTCCCTTTTTATAGACAAAGGGAAAAACCCAATCCTAATATGCTTCTAATACTCAATCCCAATCCCTAAGATAACAACTCAATCCTATCTGAAATGGGATTTCTTAGTGTTTTCCACATCTTCCTCCTTTCAAGTCTAGATTCATACCTTTTATGCTTAGAACTCCCCACTTTGAATCTATTTTGAATTCTTCTTTTGCGCCTCTTGTTGATAACTTTCGATCTCCCAAAATATCTTCAAAACCTGAGTGGATTTAGGAGAAGCCAAGCAAATTTTCTGATTTTTTTTTTTCTATTTTGGTGCTGGTGGCAAAGCAAAGAAAGCAACGGGTTTGGGTAGCTAGGGTTCTCATCTTTATTTTTTTTTTTTTAAAGCAAAACGATGTCGTTTTGTTGATTTCTCCTTTGAGCACTTCAAGTTTCATTTTTTTGCAAAAAATAGTCCATAGACCTCTAACTTTGTCATTTAGCCCCAATTAAAATTGGGTTATGACAATTGCCTCCTCTTTATTTTTCTTTTTGTAAAAAAAAGAAAAGTAAAGAATAAAAGAATAACCCAATTTCAAGCTTTGAAAACAAATTATAAATGCAAGCTTCATCATCTTCCTTGGGATGTGATCTTCATTTTTACTTCTCTAAGAATGCAATCTTCATTCAGTATGTGACTTCTAAGATGTGATCTTCATCATATCTTTTGCAAGATGCAATATTCATCTCTTCTTCTTCCTAATATGCTACTTCATCTAGGATGTGATTTTCTAAGATGCAACTTCATCCCCTCTTCTTCCTGAGATGCAACTTCATCTAGGATGTGATTTTCTAAGATGCAACTTCATCCCTTCTTCTTCCTGAGATGCTACTTCATCTAGGATATGATTTTCTAAGACGCAACTTCATCTTCCTGAGATGCAACTTCATCTCTTTTTTTTCTTGAGATGCAATTTCATCTTCTTGAGATGCAACTTTATCCCTTTTTTTTCCTGAGATGCAACTTCATCCCTTCTTCTTCCTGAGATGCTACTTCATCTAGGATGTAATTTTCTAAGATGCAACTTCGTCTTTTTGCAATGCAACTTCATCCTTTCTTCTTCCTGAGATGTTACTTCATCTAGGATGTGATTTTTTGAGATGCAACTTCGTCTTTCTGAGATGCAACTTCATTTAGGATGTGATTTTTTGAGACGCAACTTTGTCTTTTCTGAGATGCAACTTCATTTAGGATGTGATTTTCTAAGATGCAACTTTATCTTTTCTTTTTGTTTCTTTCTTTCTCTTCTTTTTTCTTTTTTCTTTTTTCTTTTTTCACAAATCTTTAGTGTATCAAAGGCAATATTGAATGAAACAATCATATTAAATGAAGCATCAAGTTTTTTTTTACTATTTAATGTTCCAAGGAAGGTATGGAAATGAAGAACTAATACGAAAAGGAATTTTCAAAATTTATTAAGGAGAAATGAAACCATGATCGAGTATGAAGAAAGCTTTGAACATATAGCAATTAAAAGGTATGAAAGGCTTGCTCAACAATTCTTCCACAATAATGATATCATCTGTTTCTCAACACATTGACAAGATGTCTCTCTTTATACCAAGGTCAATGACTCAGTCTTAGTTCCTCTTTCATGGATCACTACTGTGTTGAAAACTTTCCCTTTTGATTATCTCCTTTCAATAGATCTTCTTACTGTCATTAGCCTAAGTTGCCCTTTCAGCTTTTCAAACTTAGACCTTGCCCCCACTTCTTCATCTTTTCTTCTTCTTCTTCTTTTTTTCGTGTTCATAGATGAGCAAGCTACAAATCCTCTGATAAAGACTTTAAATTGGCTTGTATCATGATTTAAGGCTTGACTAATTAGGAAGAAAGAATAAAAAGGCTCAAAATTCCCTTTTCCCATTGAATCCCCTTACTAGCACTCTTCTCACCCTAGGCTCTTGATGTAGGACAATTTAAAAAGAAAAATCATCTTGGCTTTTATTAGTTAGACAATTGCCTTTTCTTTTGGCTCAAAGCAGGTTTCTAGGGATGATTTCATGTGTAAAGGATAAAGAAAGATAACCTTTCGTCATTGGATTCTTTACTTCCTCATCATGAACACTTATCTATATTTTGCCTAGACCGCCCTATTGGGTTTTCAGCCTAACCTCTTTTTCTCTCTTCTTTTTTTTTTTTTTTTAACACATAGTATTTCTTGACTACATCTGCATTCATTGGATGTGGGAGATCATCTTCATCAAGATAAACTACTAATAAAGCTCCTCCTGAAAAAGCCGCCTGCACGATTTAAGGACTGTTGTAGTTTGGAGCAAAATTTCCCCTTGGATCCTTCTCATTGGGCAGAATTTTCTTCAAAATAACATTTCTTTCTTGAAACCTTTGAGGCTTGACCTCCCTATTTTATGTTGTAGCCATTCTGATTAGGCTGCAATTTAGGTTCTTCTTTTCCCAACATGTCAGTGAATCAAGAAAAGGTTCTAATTCTTCATCATCTTCCATAGAATAAATCAGTGCATCAAAACTATGTGTAAGTTCAAGAATGATATCACTATTTGTGGATTTATTATTAGCAAACCTAGAGATGGAAATTTTGGCTAGCATGAGAAAATTGAATAAAGCAAAAGAAAATGAACAATCTTGCACATGAAGAGAGGGAATGAAAATGAAAGTAACATCATTGATTGAAATGAACTAAATGGAACATTATTTGTCATGCCTACAATGCTTCATAAAATATAAAAGGCTTGTTTTAACCATCTCTTCTCATGGTCACAAGCTTAACCATAAGAAGATTGACACATCTTACGATTTAATGATAGGAACATGAAGAATCTCTATTGTCCAGCTGTCCAAAGATTCACCATGACAAGTAAAATAACCTTGTCATCATCCATCCCTTCACATATACTGCACTTCTCAAAAGAAGTGCTTAAATGATCATTATTTGTTGACATAATCACCTCATGACCTTTATTGGACTCTTTATAGATCATATTAACTGTTGGACCATCATGTGTTGGTAAAGGGTTTTTGGTGATATTCGGACAACAACCTTAGATTCTGATGCAATTTGTAACTCCTTTGCATCTATCAGATCTTGGATAGAGGGCTTTAAAGCAAGACAATTTTCAAGATCATGCCCAACACCTCCACTATGGTATTCACATCTTGCTTGTGGATTATACCATATTGGAAATGGTGGATTTACTAGAACCATAGGTACAGGAGTAACAAGACCAACTACTATCAATTATTTAAACACTTCAGAGTATGACATTGGAAGTTTATCAAAATAGCATCTCTTTTTCTCTTGTTGTGGACGACTTGTCCCAGAGGCATAAACAGGCCTTGGTTGACTTGTAAAAGCCATTGATTGATAAGTTGGAGCTTGGAACCAATTGTTGAACTGCCCACGTGATTGATTATTTCTTCCATATGCCTCATAAACTAAGCTTATACTGCCATTCTCATTCTCCTTCTTTTGATTTTGGCCCATTTTCTTTGAATTAGAAATCCCTGAACTATTATTTTGGTATTGTTCAAGGAGACTCTTCATTGCTTGATAATCCATAATAATTCTAGACTTGATTCCATCCTCCACTTGTTCTCCCACAACAACCAATTGAGCAAAAGTGTAACTCACACAAGTTATTAACTTCTCACAATAAGGCCCTTTAGTTGACTTGATGAATAAATCACTCAATTTATGATCAGTTAGTGGAGGTTGAACTCGAGTAGCCAATCCACACCATCTCTGAGCAAATTCCTTGAAGCTCTCACTTGGTTTCTTTTCTGTCTTTTGAAGATCTTCTCTATTAGGAGCTAATGATGTGTTGTATTCATATTGCTTCCTACAGTTGTGAGTCAAATCATGCCAACTCTTAACTTTACTCTTGTCTAAAGTTGAGAACCAGGTATCTGCAGGACCCGTTAGACTGTCCTAAAAATAACGTATCATTAGCTTCTCGTCATTGGCATAAGGAGCCATCTTTCTACAATACCTTATCAAGTGAGCATAAGGACAATCAGTGCCATTATACTTATCAAATTCAGGCAATTTAAACTTATGGGGCAGTTGAATGTTTGGGAAAAAGCACAAAGATGAAATGTCAATCAGTTTATTGGTTTGGACACCTTGCATCGATTTTAGTGTTTCGTCCATCAACCTGTACCTTCGCTTTAATTGCCTTGTCTTCTTCATCTGTGATTGACTTGAAAACTTGAGTCTCTACTTGATCATTAGACTGAACTATAACAACACCAGCATTTAGAACAAATGGTTTTGTCCCAGAAGCTCCATCAATAGTTGGATTAGGTGGGCAAGATAACGTAGGCTCCTTCCCAAGAGTTAAAGCAGATGTGACCACAGGGAGATTTGCCACCGGAACATTTTCTTCAAACAAAGGATTTGTTGCCAAAGGTGCCCTTGTGACTAAGGTTGCCTGAAGAGATTGGAAGGAAGCCATCAATTCTTTCAACGTATTTTCCATATTTTCAACACGATTTTCAAGAGCTCCCCTCTCTAAATTAGCTCCATCAGCCATCTTCCTTGCAAGAGCTCTAGTGAGAATAGGTGAACAAACTCTTGGATAATTCTTTTTAGGACCAATCTTTCAACACCTGAAGAAATATAAGCATTATTAACAAATCATGGATTTATCTAATTGGCATTTTGAAAGACAAGTTCCCAATGTTTTCATTAGATAAATGGATGAATAAACCTATCTTCTAATTATTTGTTTTACACATGGATTCTTCATTGTCAAGAACAACTTTAGCCACTTGCATGTAAAGGGAAAGAGAAATTAGAGCCAAGTAACTGTCACGCAAGCCAGAAACATGAGGGGATTGCCCCTTTCATGACCTTTTGATTTGATTTTATTTTTATTTTTTTTTGAAAAGGAAAATAATGAGGAGATTGCCTTTTCATATCTTTTCTTCTCTTATATTAAGGAACTTGCTTTTTCTCAACAAATAGAATTCAAGAAAATGTGAAATTTGACTTCAAATGCTCAACCTCAACCATTTCAAAATAGATTCCATTAATCAACTTATGAATTCGTTGTTGGGTGACTAAATAATAACTGAAAATATTCTTCAATAGTGGATACCAACTCAAACTAAGGAAAAACAAAGCAACACAGATGCGGGACATAAAATCTTAGGCTTGCCCTAATGATTTCCCAGTTCTGCTCTACTTGCAGCACATTAGCTATTTTGCCAAATTTCTTGTCAAACCTCACTTTGTCAAGATTACTTAAACTATTCCAAGCAACAACCAAGTCTTTTACACAAGGTCTTTTGGTCTGCACAGAGAATCCATCCTTGTGTGATTTGTTTTTCTTAGATAATGGTGAACATTCTAACTCTAAATTCACCCTTTTTTCCTTACTGTTCTTTTTCTCCAAAGAATCCATGTGTAAAATAATCAATTACCTATTTATTAAAGAAAAGAAAAAGGAGAGTTAATAAATGTCATACCCCTTGGCCAAATTCCTCACCTAAGAAACACAAAAACATTGTCTAAAAATAAAATATTCCCAACGTGTCCTATGTATAAGGTTCTTAGACTTTGAAGGTGGTTTACTAGGTTGGCCGCCCTAGGGTTAAGTTTTGTCTAAGTCCATTACATGCAGTTTCCTAGTGGATCCTATACAATTAGGCTTTTTCAACTACTAACTTCCATAAGTCAACAATTATTGACTTCCATAAAGTCAACAATTGCCAACTTCTATAAAGTTAACGAGAGACATTTCATGACCTAATACAGCAGCAGCATTATGGTTGTTAGGCTATATTAACCCACAAAATGAACCTAAAAGAGATAAATCTCACTTCACAAGGAAAGCATTGTGCTTTTCATTTCTCCATGAGTTATCCATCTATCTAGAGGTCGAGTTCACCTCATAAAGGACAAAAATGATATGCAAGTGAGGTGTGTGAGGGAGTATACACATAAAGTTAACATATGAAAATAACAAAAATAATAAATAAAATAACAAAATAAAAACTTACAAGGTACTCCATGCCACCTACAAAACAAAAGTTAGTAATTGAAAACCCCCAAAATTAAAGAATAAATGGCTTGACCCCTCAATGGTCTCTAGTGGAGTTGCCAAACTGTTGATGTGCCGAAATGGATGGAGTCGCCATCTATCCAAATGAGGTGAGATAGATTACTAAGATCTAAGTAGAAATTGACTAGACTCGGATGGTCGGTTAAGTGTGGGAAGGTGTTAGGCACCCCATAACTTCCATATAAATATGGTTACCGCATACTTTAATTTTGAGAATTTTTCAATTTTGTATGAAAATTATAATTTCCAAAATGAACAAAAAAAAATCACTTAAAAAAATGTCATTTACCTTTTGTTTCCCCGTTTCTGTTTTTTTTTTTTCGTTTCTTTTTTTTGTAAATTTTTATCAATAACAATTACCCAAAAAAGTCACTTCAAAAAAGAAACAAAAATAATAAAAAATAAATAAATAAATAACTACAGTCCTCCATTGGATCCCGTTTTTTCCGTTTCGGTTTTTTTTGCTTCTATTTCTTCTTCTTTTTTTTTTTTCTGCACTCTTTTCGTTTTTGTTTCTTTTTTTTTTTTTTAATACCTACACTCACTTCCTACCTCCCAAAAAAAATTTTGGTTAAAACCTCATTTTGGTCTCTGAATTATTATAAAACCCCTGATTTAGT